CGTATTTCAAATTTCTCATTTTGTGTGTGAGAGCACCACAAGACGAGAAGAAATACTCTCGAATCTCTCCTATTCTTCTCATTGTTACTCAATAACTATAGAGACAATTAAACAATAATTAAGGGATTTTTTCCTCCTATACCATATATGAAACCTTATTACTAAAAATGTGCATATTTTGTAAATTACCCGCCCTGTGCACTGTTTTTCTACAATTTTTATACCATTCATTAATTAGTAATTAATAGTAGCTGAATCTTCCTAATATGGCGCACTAAAAATCAGGAAAAGAATATCCTAATTGATTTAGCGACCTTCAGTTCAAATTTGAACGCAAATCCTTTATCTGATCTCTCCAGAATTTTTTTCGTAATTCAAAAAAAAAAGACGAAAAGCTTCAACAAACTGAAATCAAATTGTAGAAATCAGTTCGTCGAGTTTCTTCCTCAATCCAGACATCAAAAAGGCGACTAGTTATTCAACAAAATCAAGTCAAATTGTAGAAACCAATACTGCCGATACTCTGTTCTTCATCTTTTTTTTCTCAATCCACAATCAAAAAAACAATAAAAAATATAGAACAATACCTCAACAACAACACTCAATCATGTCCAAAATCCCAATCATGCTACAAATTGAATGGGAAAAATCTGATTATAAAAAATAGGTCTCATCTCTGTATTTTTTGAGAAGAAGAAGGAATGGAGAAGAGGAAGAAAGGGGAGGGGGAAAACGGCGCTGGTCTTAGGAATTAGGGGAAGCTGATTAAAATTGTTATGTTACAAATTCTATGAAAGTCTGGTTTTATGTTAATATCTACAAAATTCCTACATTTATCTACAAATAAATTACAAATCAGTTTAACTATGTATAAAGCAGTATTGTTTTTAAGGGTATCTATAAAATTACTATATTTATACTACAATTAAACTACCATCTATGTTGAAAAAAAAATGTTGACTACAAAATTTTCTATTCATCTACAAAATGTCTACAAATAAACTACAAATCAGTTTTAGTATTGTATAAAGCTGTATTGTTTTTAAGGGTATCTACAAAATTACTACATTTATACTACAATTAAACTACAATCTATGTTGAAAAAAAATATTGACTACAATTTTCTCTTCATCTACAAAATTTCTTCAAAAAAACTACAAATAAACTACAAATCAGTTTAAGTATTGTATAAAGCTGTATTATTTTTAAGAGTATCTACAAAATTACTATATTTATACTACAATTAAACTACAATTTATGTAATTAGAAAAATGTTGACTACAAAATTTTCTCTTCACCTACAAAATTTCTACAAAAAAAAAATTACAAATCAATTTAAGGTTTCAGGGTGAAGCTTAGTCTTTAAAAGTTGAATCTTTGAATCAAAGTCAGAAGAAGGGGTAGGGGATTGATTGATTTAGTAGCAGTAATAGACACAAATCGAAAGTTCATATGCTCTCCCCTGGCGAAGATCGTTTAAAGGTTGAGGGCTTCATCAGTAGACGTGGATCTAAACTTGCCTTGAAGTACTTATGTGAAAAATTGGGTGGATCTTTGTTTGAAAAGCTTCCTAAGCTGTGGGACTGCTTAGTTGAAGTTCTTAAGCCTTGTAGTCTTGAAGACATGACTGGAGAAGATGAAAAAGTTATTACTTGAGCTATTGAGTTGGTTAAAGATTATCAGAACTTGATTAACATACGTAACAAAATTGCAATTTCCATCTCTATATTTTTTGAGAAGAATAAGGAATGGAGAAGAGGAAGAAAGGGGAGGGGAAAAAGGGCGTAGGTCTTAGGAATTAGGGGGATAGAGAAACGTGAGATATATGGATACCTTTAATTAAGGAGTAAAAACTGCCCATTAATTAGACCCTTAATTAAGTATGGTATAGAATTGGTAATTTGGTATACTAAGTGTAATTAAATCAAACCTTATTCATTTTATTTGAGTCAGGAGTCATATTCAGGACGATCGAATGCAGTAGAGCTCTTTAAAGAGTGGGCTTGGGCCATCAGCTCATTAAGAGGAACCAAATTATAATTGTAAAAATTGCACGTGGCGCCTTATTTGGTCGCACCATTTAACCTATACCCATATTTTTAAAATTATTTAACATATACCCTACTTTTTACAACTTCAGGCTCCTCCTTCTTTTTGCTACCTGTGCTCATTTCTTCCTCCTTTCTTTGTTAGTCTCTTAGAACATCTTGTTTTTAATAATGTGATCATCATTTGTATTTGTGAAGATGCTTACATCACAATGCTTGGGGTGAATTGCTTTTCTCTGTGCTTTTCACGTTTATTGTTTCCAAAACTTATGATTTAGATACTGTTGGCAATCTAATTATTTTATAGTAGTAATACACTATGCAAGAATAAGGTGATTATTTATCTAGTATGTTAGAAAGCTTTTTAAAAAACTTCAGCTTATATAGTGCTGCAGTTTTTACAAATGAACTAAATAACTTTAGCATCTTCTACTAAAGTTTTTGAAAAAGCTTTTATGACAAAACTAATAAATCCAGGACAAAAAAACTTCAGCTTATTTAGTGCTGAAGTTTTTACAAATGAACTAAATAACTTCAGCATCTTCTGCTGAAGTTATTGAAAAAGCTTTACGACAAAACTAATGAATCCAGGACAAAAAAACTTCAGCACTAAATAAGCTGAAGTTTTTACAAATGAACTAAATAACTTCAGCATCTTCTGCTGAAGTGTTTGAAAAAGCTTTACGACAAAACTAATGAAACCAGGACAAAATTTCAGCTAAAACATGCCGAAGTTCAGCAAATAGAGAACAAAACTTCAGCTAGTAGAATGCTTAAGTTGAGCAATTACAAACAGCTTCAGGCCCGTCTACTAGAATGCTGAAATTTGCGTGATTGCCTTTGCTACTTTAGTCCCGTATGCCTGAAGTTTACGCGAAAAATGGGTACGCTTGCAATTTTTTTTGCAAAGCGGGTATAAGTTAAAACGTGATCAAAAAATCGGGTATAGATGCAAATCCCCCATTATAATTTGGGTATTTTAGAGTTACACAAAGAGCCTTCTACATTCATTGTTTACCTTTTCTAACCATATACATAATTCATACACAATTATATACATATAATTCATAAATTATGCATGTGTTATATCTCTACCGGCTACTTTTAATTTAAGAGGTTTGGTGGATGATTGAGTTAATTTTGCAATTTTTTTTGATTCACGTTGGCTTTTGGATCTGAGCACACCTATAATCATAATGGGTAAAAATTGCACGGGGCGCCCTATTTGGTTGCCCCCATTTAACCTATACCCATATTTTTAAAATTATTTAACCTATACCCATTTTAAAATTATTTAACCTATACCCTAATTTTGACAACTTCAGATCCTGCGACCTATGCGCTCCTTTCTTCCTCCTCTTCTTTTCCTCTTCTTCTTCTTTTCTCTCTCAAACGTGTTATCCTGTAAGTTACACATGTTATCCTCTCAAACATTAATACATCCCAACACAAAAGTACGTAAATAATAAAACAAGAGTTTATATTCAGAACTCGAAGAAGCATCAACTGAAGTTTGGGACTGCAGGGCCAAACTTTAGGCATTACCAGGTTAAATTTCGTCTGAAGTTTGCAACTATCATGCCAAGAAAAATTATCTGAAGTTCAAATATAACAAGCTGATTTTGTCTGAAGTTTGCACTACAAATTGAAGAACTTCAGACTAATTTGTCTGAAGTTTGCACTATGAACTGAGGTTTTTTTGATTGCTCTTGCAAGTTAGGCCAAACTTCAAACGAAAGTATCTGAAGTTTACTTTGATAAGGTCACACTTCAGGCAAAAAAATCTGAAGTTCAAACTTCAGACATAAATTCTTGCTATTTCAGGCCCCGTATATCTGAAGTTACCCGAAAGTGGGTACGCTTGCAATTTTTTAATAAAGCGGGTATAAATTAAATTGTAACCCAAAAACTGGATATAAATGCAAATCCTCGTCGTAATGGCCTCTTCTACTCTTGAGCCGAGCCCAATTACGCTTTACAAGAATACTTTGGAAATGATAACATATCATGACAGTTGTATGATTATAGAGTAAAAAGAAAAAATTAAAAATTTTAAATAAAAAAAAGATGTCATTTTTTTATATGAATTAAAAATAAATAATACTATCATACAAAGTGAATCAGAAGATATACATATATTTTAGGAATTGAAATTGCATGTGGGACATTGCAATAAAGCTTTAATTTAACATGTTATAACATATTACTGTTTTAGATAAATCACTATTTGTATTATAAAAAAGTTATGTGTAATTATTTTCTTGGCTGAATTTATTAAGTAAATTTTTTACACCATTTTAATAAAACTTAAATCAGTGTTTTTTTTCCTTTTCTGGACTTGGTTAAAAAAAAGAGAGTAAAATAAATGCTCTGCAATTAAGCTCCTTTCAAGAATGAAAGCTAAAAACAGCTTTCTTTCCTTGAAGCAGTAGCAGCAGTAGAGGACCTTTATCAGATCCGATATACGAACAAATCAAACCCAAAATTAGCTAAACCCTGCCGCCAAGATTACAGCCATGGATGCTTTGAGGAAGCAAGCTTTCAAGCTAAGAGAACAAGTCGCCAAACAGCAACAGGTCCCGTCATTTTTTGTTTCTTTTAATCTAATTTTCTTGTTATTTTTTGAGCTGCGAGAAATGTATACTATCCTTGGAATTCTGGTTTATGTGTACCCTTTATGTGTTTCTTCTTGTGGGTAATCTTAATTTATAGCGATCATCTACTAGAATTATAAAATGAGAAAACTTCAATTTTGGGCTGTGAGAGATATGAGCTAATTGTTACTGATTCATTTAGCAAAGTTCAATTTTGATCCAATCATATTTCTTCTTGATTCTTCAAATTGGTCTACTCTGAGCATAAGTTTTATGCACTAATGTAGAAAATATTTACACAATCAGGTAATTTGTAACAATTAGAATTACTCAACACAACGCTAAGGTATTTTATACGGTAAGGATCTCAATAACTGAAAGATTACAACTCTAGAAAGTTAAAAAACAAAAGGGAGTTATAGAACTACTGAAGAAATATGACAGGTAATTAGAAAGGGGAAGAGGAATTAGACAGAATCAGAAGAGGAGGTGAGGAGCACAGACTTTGCCTAAGCATAATCACAATTCGCATACCCTCTTCCTTGCACAATCTGATAATTATAACAACACTTTCCTGCGCAATAACGCTTTCACACGTGTACTTCAACCTGGGTCCCAATGGCAGTCCAATAACATTGTTTTGGGCTGTTTAATCATTTGACCCCAGCTAAAACCATTCTCAGGCCCAAACCTGGGACCAAGCTAGTAAAAGGATCTATAAACATAGTTGAAGAGTGACTGAGATGTTCTCGTTGAGGACTTCGAACAAACACCTGGGCTTTCCCAAAATTTTCAGTTTCCAAATCAGATTTCATCATAGAGATAAGTGTCATTGCATCCAACAGCCGCTTAGATTCACCAAACAAACTCTTAGAAAAAGTAAATGGCTCAATTTCACTGGGTGCAAGCTGATCATGTCCAGCAAGAGAAACGAGTAGTGCATTATCGCTTGAGAATTGAAAAGGCAGATCGGGTTCATTACTCTCGAGAATTTCGTCAAACACCTTGCCCTTAATTGGAGCGTCACTCTCCAAAACGAGATCTTCAGAGATATGAGTAAATTGTGTAATGGAAGCACGAACCTCATTTTGGTGAGAGCATTTATCGAACACCTGGACCTCATTTGAAGATGCATCTTTTAAATTATATTCCATAGCATCAGCAACGGCGTTAGTATCTGATCGCTCAGTAGCAAAACAAACCAGTGACAGATCGGCCAAACTCACCACGAGACCTGCCAAGCTCCGTTGTGGAAATCGTAATCGCAATTTTGACGTAAAATGCTTCCAATCCAGGAATTGTTCGGTCCGATGCAACCAAGTGAACCAAGTAAGAGCTTCACCATCAAGGTAGAAATAAGGAAGAGGTAGCTAATCCTTCTCGGAGAAGCCAAGGTAGGCGAAGTACTGCTCGGCCCGACAAATCCAACTCTCGATGTTACCGCCGCCATTGAATCGATCTAGTACCGCTATTGGAGTACTCTGGATGAAAGCACCAATGTAACAATTAGAATTACTCAACACAACGCTAAGGTATTTTATACGGTAAGGATCTCAATAACTGAAAGATTACAACTCTAGAAAGTTAAAAAAACAAAAGGGAGTTATAGAACTACTGAAGAAATATGACAGGTAATTAGAAAGGGGAAGAGGAATTAGACAGAATCAGAAGAGGAGGTGAGGAGCACAGACTTTGCCTAAGCATAATCACAATTCGCATACCCTCTTCCTTGCACAATCTGATAATTATAACAACACTTTCCTGCGCAATAACGCTTTCACACGTGTACTTCAACCTGGGTCCCAATGGCAGTCCAATAACATTGTTTTGGGCTGTTTAATCATTTGACCCCAGCTTAAAACCATTCTACAGGCCCAAATAGCCTCATTTTAGTTCGGCCGACATTCACAACATAATTTATTAGCCAATTACAAGTAAATCTCTCAGTAAACGTTAATTGGTAATCTGGTAAAAATGGTAGCTAACTTGGTATCAGAGGTTGAATTCACTGTAAAAAGAATTAAAATTTCAGTGCATATAACTTAAATCCATAATGTGTGAATGGATACTTGAATTCTGACAATCCCCACATTTGCATTAGAACAGAAATGGAAAAAAAACAACTATAATGAAGCCCCCCATCTTTCACAAGAATTCAACTAAGTAATTGACTTGATGGTACAAGTTGTTTCTTTTAACAGTGAGTGTTATTTTTGTAGTGTCAATATTGATTCTTACTTGCTAGTTGTTTTGTTGCTAACTTCAGGCAGTTATCAAGCAGTTTAGTACAACTGGTTATGAAAGTTCAGATGTTATGGTCGTTGATGAGGTAGAGATGCGAGTACATCACCAGCTGGACAAGTTGTATAAGTCAACTCGTGAAAAAAGGGTAAGGATCTAATCACTGCAATGTAAATAAAGCCTGTTTGCTGTCTACAACTTTTTTTTCCATGGCGTATTGGAACATTTGATGTTCAGTCATTTACTTAACTTTTAAATTAGCTACAATATATTCCAGAATGCAACTTACTTATGCAGAAAAGAACTGGCAGATATACTGTTTAGTCATATCAAAGCCTTCACTTTGCTCTTTCTGCATCTTGCTAATAGTTGACAATGCTAAACAGTGAGTGATTTAGCTCTTTTAGTTGGAGGAAGAGATTATTTGTGCTTTAATTACACGTGACTTACAAGGGTGTGGCCTAGTTGTCAATAAAGTGGGTTGAGAACTATGAGGTCTAAGGTTCAAATCCAGACAAAAATACTAGGTGATTTCTTCCCATTTGTTCAAGCCTTGGTAGGCAGAGTTACCTGGTACCTGAAGCTAGTGGGAGGTAGCGGGTACCCATGAAATTAGTCGAGGTGTGCGCAAGCTGGCCCGGACACCACAGTTATCAAAATAAAAGTTACATCTGACTTACAAAAGGAAGGTGCCAAAATTTGAAGTGAGATCAATTTTTATGTGCATTTGAATTGGTAATATTTGGTGATATGTAACACAGCATATAAAGAAAAAAAAAAAACTTAGTTGTTTCTTTATTTTCTGTTATTTAATAAGTAGTTCAGGGGAGGAAGCTTCCTTTTATTTTGGATTTTGGAAGGGATGTAAAATGGGACGTGAAGATTCTTGAGTTCGATTATAGATAGTTTTAGAGATATTTTTCATGCAGTACATGCTTTTTTTATGTTGAAAGTTTAGAGAATAATTATTGTAATCAGATTCACAACACGTTGAGATTTATTAAATTTACTTGGGAGGACATTGGAGAATATTCATATTGTTCTCTAGTACACGGTAAAATATTTTGTATTTAATGGTAGAAATACAGAATAACTACTTATCAAAAAAAGAAATACAGAATAACTACTTACCGTGCTCTACGTGTGGTTGGGGTCCAAGAATTTGTTTATTTGATATCCGCGTCAATGTTCCATGGTCTAAAGACGCTGAACTGAATGGTCGCTTCTGTTGTGATTCTTAGCTTGCCTACATGTTTGCCCACTAAGGCTGATTTGACCTAGCTGAGCTTATCATAATGTGCTTGGCTCATTGACATGCATTCGCTTTTCTAAATCAGCATGAGCTTGACCTCGTTCGATAGTCATTTTTGTTACTTCTTCTCCGACTACTGTAATCTATTCTTGGCTTGTTAATATGCATTCAAACTTCTTCTTAGACGAGTTGAGCATAATGATGGCAAGCTTAGCTTGTTGTATCAGCTCGAGCTGTTCAGCTTGGCTTGTTCACATGTACTCATTTTTCTATTTCCTCTTGGCCTTGACCATTTTATTGTCGTTGGTGAACAATGTATTGTTTACCTTTCGAGGTGCTTTGTTATATGCACAAGACAATGTATATTGTTGACAGGATAAATGCCATGCTAGTGGAGAGCATTACATTCCTATTTCTTGTCTTTTGTAGTTGTGGATCTAGGACTTGGCAAATTCATTTCTTAATTCTGATCTGAACTCATTGTGTTTCCCTTTCTATCCAAAGTTACGATATCTTTGTTTGTATAACTTTGCAGGATTTTCAGAAAGAGATTGTTAAGGCAGCTGAAGCATTTACAGCTATAGGATACAAGCATATAGAAGCAGGTAAAACTTTTGAAGTCTATTTTGTATAAATAGATCTACCTGCAAATGGAACTTTCTTGTAGTCATATTCTCTGGCCATATTTGGGACGTTGGGTAAAAATAATGACTTTGTTTTCTGCTACTTCCAAAAGATTCTGGTACTCCTCTATGCCTTCTTTAGGATAAGGCAAGATTATCCTTAACCTTGATGTTATCTTTCTTGTTTTCTGGATACTGCTGGATAGGCTAGAAAATTGTGAAGTTCTTAAGCGTGCCCCCACCAACCCCATCCTTCTCTCTCCCATTTTCGTTGGAGGGGACATGCATTTTTTATTTTTTATTTTGGTTGTTTTTCAACTTATTCTATGGAAGTTTATGGTAGCCAGGAACTAAATTATCAGAAGATTGCTGCAAATATGGAGTTGAAAATCCCAATGACGAGGTGTTAGCTAAGGCTGCTTCTATTTACGGTGATGCTCGTAAACATGCAGAGAAGGAGGTTGAAGATCTAAACAAACTGTTCTTTAGTCAGGTTGGTAAAATATTTTTCCTCTAATATGCATATAATGTTGAAGTATGAAAGATTATCAGAAGTATGTCATAGAAAACTAATTACAAGCAAGATATAGGGTTATTATTTTGTTAAAGTTACATGAGCTAGACAAAAGTTTTTCCTCTAGACCTAAAAGTCAATGTATTGCTGGATATCAATGCAGCAGTTTAGACTCAGCCTAGCCTAAGACCATTATATACTTACACGAATAGGCTTATAGAAAGACTGCTATGAAACTGTGAAGACAAAGAAATCAATGATTACAGTCTTAAGTTCTGGTGCTGGTAGCAAGTGACAAATGCATAAAGAAAATTGCTGAAACAGTTCCCTTGAAAAACCAAAAGATATTCTCATTTTCCTTTCCAGTTTTCTCCATATACGTGGCCAGAAAGATGTGACTTCTGTGTGCCCTTCTTGTGCTTGGAGCTTTTCTCTTTATTACTGGTTTCTGTAAGCAAATGCTTATAACCACCCCATTCCCCAACCAAAAAGAAGGATAAATAACATATGTAAAGAATCATGGCTTGGTGCTGTATATGCGGAGCTATCCACTATCACAGGGATGGGAAAGTTGATGCATGAAGGTGCAAATACTTACTCGTATATGAACATATTGTAAAAAAAGAAACTGGATAAAATGAACTCATTAGTCCCTGCCTCCTGTGATTAACAATGGTGTGATGACCTTTGATTCTGGTGCAGTAAATGAATTCAATCTTTTCAATTCTTCCAAATTGATTAATTGTGTTATGCCTTGGTTGATTTTGCTTCAGTAAATAAATTTTTTCTCTTCAGTTCTTACAAAGTTGCAACTATTTTGTGGAAAGATCAACCAGCATTCTCACCAACTTCTGTAATTTGTTATTTGTGGCATCATTAATCAGGACTATGTAACAAACTGGGTCCTGATTCTACTGCAAGATTTATTTAGTAGGAGGATGCTAGTGACCTTTTTGTCATATGAAACATAATTCTCGAAGATATTTCACTACCTTCTTTTTCACTTTCATTTTTGTGATGAATTTAGCTTTTATAAGGCTTTAAATCGGGTTGTGTCCGGAACCTACGTTTAGGGTTACTGCCTTATTCCTTGTTAAGATACTGCACATTTCTTGATACAGTAAGCCTTGCATTCAGTACTTCATAGTTCAGCCATACATAGCAGACTGAAATGAGCTTTTGGATTTTCAGGTACTAGAACCATTGAGAGCTATGGTAGCTGGTTCTCCCTTAGAGGATGCTCGTCATCTTGCGCAGCGTTACAGTAAAATGAGACAAGAGGCAGAGATACAGGTTATTGTAACGATTATTCCTGTTCTTTAAGGCTGTTATGATAACTGTCTGTTGATACTTGTCATATCATACTATTTGCACCGTCATCACATCCTTAGTATTGAACACAAAGTAAGCAGGCAGCCGAAGTTTCTAGAAGACAAGCTCGGGTGAGGGAAGCTCCCATCCCAGAGAATGTGGCAAAGCTGCACGCAGCAGAAACTAAAATGCAGGAACTCAAAGCCAACATGGCAGTACTTGGTAAAGAAGCAGCGGCAGCATTAGCTGCTGTAGAATCACAGCAGGAGAGGCTTACATATCAGAGGCTTGTTGCAATGGTATGTGTGCTGGTGCATATTTGCTTCTCATGGAGTTGATACTTAAATTTTCCCCATAAACAACCATTTTCAAACTGTGGTTAATGTGAGCATTATCATCTGCAGGTTGAAGCAGAAAGGCTTTATCATGAGAGAGTTGCTGTTATTCTGGGTAATATTGAAGCTGAGGTGAGTGTTAATTATTTCTCCGGAGGTATGCTTTATACCTAGGTAATTTTTTCTAACACGAGAATTTGCAATTTGTACAGATAGTTTCTGAAAAACAGCGAAAAGAGGCTGCTCCTCCTGTAGCCACACTTCCTGTAAACCCTCCAGCTCACATACCTGAGAAAAATAAATACTTTTTGGCCGAGGTAACCTCTGCTTTAGCAACTGTTGTCTAAGTTGTCATAATCTTAGACTGATTGTTTTTAATTATACAATTTGAAAGAGATCTCTGAGGAAAAGCTGATTGAGAATCAGGATGTATTGCTGGTCTGAGCTCTATTAAACTGTGGTGCTCTAAAGACACTCTTATCACTGTAGTTTTTACTGTTTTATTAATGAGTTAAGTATTTAATGAAGCATGGTCATAATTTTGTGCCTCTCTCAAACAGGCGGTTCATTCTTTTGAAGCTGAATCAGAAAAGGAGCTTAGCTTGGCAGTGGGTGATTATGTTGTTGTTCGTAAGGTTGTTTATTTCATTCTAAAATTCTGTCCATTCTTCGTTTGACCCCTCTTTCTTAAGATATAAACATATTGATTCTAAAGTTTAGACATAAACCCACTTATACATCTACTGGAGCATCATCCTTTATAGTATCTTTAAAACCCTTTTAAATTCCTAAGCCTTTTCCAGTTTACCCGTAAAGATGATTGCTGTCACTAGTCTTCTGAAGTTCTGCCTTCCAATTTATCTAAACCCAACTTCCCGCTTTAATCCACCCCCTCCTGCCTCCCTCTCTACCCCTCCCCCCCTAAAAAAAGAAAAAAAGAAAAAACAGAGTTAGTAGAAAGACAAAAAGCAAACAATTATAGAATACTTTATAAATGTAATAGGGAAATCACAAGCCCTTACACTCTTCAATCAATCAAACTGTTATTATTCCGAGATGTAATGAGACAATGTAGACTCCAAAAAAAGAAACCATAGTTAATTCTTCTATCCCTTCACTTCCATCTTGCATTGAAGAGTGTCTTACTTTTCCAGTTTCATACTATGTTCAGGTAACTCAATCAGGGTGGTCGGAAGGAGAATGCAAAGGCAAGGCAGGTTGGTTTCCATCCGAGTATGTGGAGAAACGACAAAGAGTACCTACTTATAATGGAGCGGCTGAAGTTTACTGAGGTTTAGCGTCTTGGTTGCTAGTACTTCTTGACCTGTTGCCAGTTAAAACCATTTTGTTCATGCAGAGCATAGAGTCGAGCGTGTCACATATTGCTTTCAATTCCTTCAGGCTTATACTGTGGATAGATAAGATTACAGAAAATTCTTTTGGTCCTTTTCCTTTTCTCCTTTGTTTTTCTCGTGGGCATAGAGGTGTCATTACTGGTTGGATGAAAGTGAGATACAGTGAGTTAATTGTCTTCCTCCTCTCCCCGGGGACGAGGAGAGGGCTTGTGTAATTTTACCTTTGAAGAAGATTGTTGTGAAAATTGTTGTGGGAATTTGTGAATTATGAAAGAAATCAGTGCTTGCTTATTAGTGAAGTCTGTCGAACACTAACAATGATAAAGGTTGCATATGCATTGCTTAGAAGAAATGCAGCAAAACATGCTACATTCAATAACATAGAACGTGAAATAGGAGGCGCACATACAGAATTCTATGGATCATTGGATTGTTTTTGCTTCTGTTGTTTATTTGTTCAGATGCACATAGTTATTACTTATTACTTCACGAGTCACATTTTAGAAAGCAAATCATAATGAATTATCTTTGTTAAGTTAGTTAGATGAAGGGGCGAAAACATAATTATTTCCATAATTCTCATCTTATATAGTCGAGAACATAATGCAAGCATAGTTAAACTATTCAACTGCAATACCAAATACACAGTGGAAATATATCCAGAATCGGTTGTAGAGTTCATCCAGCACCTGGATTTTGGAGTAGTTTTCCCAAACAACATATATAAATGGCGATCACAGAAATCTTTCATGTTTATTCTTGTTGTGTAAAAATAAATTTTGTATTCGAGTGCATTTAGACTTTTGACATTACCATGTATAGAAAGAAGAGAGCATTTTAAAATTTGACATGAGCATGCAACTATATGGATGTATTGGCGGCAAAACTGGGAGCCCGCCTGAGGCGGATTCTAGATTTCAAGATGATGGGTGCACTATTGTGAAGAGGTCGATCTAGAATTTATATTTGACAGGTTTAATTTTAGTCTCTTACTACGAATCCACTGTACTTTTAAAATTATAGGTTCAAAATTATATTCTTTTTAAAATTTTAGTAATTTCACACACACACACACACACACACACACACACACACACACACACACATATATATATATATATATATATATATATATATATATATATATATATATATATATATATATATATATATATAATCCGTGCCA